TTACACAAGAGATTGAGTAGTATTAGTAGTAGGAGGAGGGAGGAGATAGAGAGAATGATAATTGGCAGAAAAGATATATATACATATAACGGAGGTGAATCAAAGAGAATCTTTGAAAATTATCTCATGATGACTTGATATTTTAAGAATGAGTTTATTTCAACAAGTTAATTAAACATTTATGTATATTCACTCAAATGTCACCGATACAAAAGATTTGTAGTGATGGTAAGAGGTTAATTGTCTATGACAAATATAAAAAGCCTAACCATTATTGATTCACTTGAGAACAATGAAAGCAAATCAATTGTATGAATGTGATCATTATGTATATATATATATATGTATAACGTTGGGAAACACTATAAGATTTCAATATAATCTGTTCAAGAAACTTTATTTATTGTTCGAAATTCTGGATATATCAGTCATTGTTACTTGTGACAAAAAGGCTTGTTCATCTAATTAAGAATATGAACATGTATAAATTGAGAAACCAGTTTCGTATATCTTAACATGAAACAAGGTGACGAAGGTTTATGAACTTTTGTAAGTTTTGTTATCAATCACTCAGTCATAGATAACATAGAATCTAATACATACGTTCATTAGTTCAAGTTATTACAGGTCATTAATAGTAGAAAAGATTAGTAATACAAAAGGAAAAAAGTGTGTAAAATTTCGGGACTGGTGTTCTGACGAGAGACATGTCAGTCAGTCACAACTTAGAACTTGGTATGTATGTACATTGGTTCAAGTTATTAAACTCCATTATCCAGTGAAATATCCTATGCTAGTACTGACTACAATGTAGTGTTACGTAAATGATACGACATTCATTTCGTTTTACTAATGAAATTGGGGTACGTTGATGATCAATGTGTTCCATCCTCGAATAAATCGTCTTCAACTTAATTTTACATGTAGTTAAGTACAAATAAAATGTAGTTGACATTTACCGTCTTAGAGTTTCACCGTTGATCGGTGTAACAATATGAATATAATTTTTCAAAACCCCATGCACCTTGAATACAGGCTCATATAAAAGGTTTTGAATTACATTGATTGTATAATAAAAAATGATGCTGTCAGTCTATACAAAATGAATTCAATCAAGTAAGCTTCAAACTTGTGATCTACTAGTTGAGAAACTAAGTGTATGTATCATTTAATAAGTCGTCAGTTATATTTGTACTAATGTATGCTTATTATTAAAAGTATCTGTTGTTTTCTAACTGTTTATAAGATAATTAAAAGCTCGAAACATCAAAAGACAAATGAATACGGAGGCAACTAGTGGTAAATATTGCAAAACATTTAAAATAACCACACACTTATTTATCATTACAATTTGTAAAGTTTCTATATATTTTTCCCCATTCTTCAACTTACAGCTATGTCAGTCAGCTCTTGAGAGCTGTGAGTGGTATGGGGGTGATTATCACTTCCCAGTCGCCCACACCGTGAAAGTGTTCTAGAGATACCTGAGAACGTGACCACAGTGTCTAAGGGACAACTGCTTGAGGTCGGTCACACACGACCTTTCTGTGAGTAATATTCGTGTTAGCCCCGTACTTTTTGGGACCTTACCGCCGGAAACTGAAATCCGTGGGATAAGGCGAGGTGTGCAATTCTAGGGTCGATCTTTTCTAACCCCACCCTTCTTTTGTGAGAAGGCAGCATCTCTGTTATGCTATTTGTCTGAGGGAAACACCTTACTGCTGTCACACCTCTGTACAGTCAGAATTACGACTTTGCCCTCGGACCTTGGTTTTGTTGCTTTTAGTCCTGCCGCTCTTCAACCAACCTGTCTGGCATGGTAGGACCTTGAGGAACGATTGTTCCAGCCAGTATAGCTCAATAGGTTCATTACGATAGACGACTCCAACTACCACGTCAAAGTGGCAGCAAGGTTTGGGCAATCAGTCACTTCTTACATATACATCATATCAAATATATTTTCACATTTATACTTCTCCTGTCTCTTCCTCACATTCGACTGAATTACATATTATAACTCTTCCACCGATTCATATTCACATGTGTTCGTGTTTGCATACTTTCCTTTATGTTGCAATCACCACATCGACAAATTCACTTACAACTCTACACCAATGTTACAAAATGTTATTCCGATTAACGTTTGATACAATTATGAGGTATCCTTTGTAAATGTTTCAAATCAATAAAAATCTAGTCAAATACAATCTTGGAAATATAAATATCTACAAATTATAAGTATTATCTCAGTCAGTCAGTCAGCTACAACGTAGGACCAGGCACATATGTGCATCGGTCCAGGTTGCCATACCTCATTAGCACAGCAAGATGAACAGCGGATTCATAGGAGTGGTTAGGTCAAAGGTTGCAATAAGGATATAGTATAGGAAGAAAGAATTAGTTCGTAGACAGAAAGAATGAAGTGATTTTAGTCTCTTAGTTTAAGGGGAGACAGGGAGTGTATACACCGACTCCATTGTGATCGATTCTGAATAAGTATTATCTATTAGACAAGTGAACAATTACGATGATTCAATGACTTAATAAGTAACATACTAGAGTTCACCATGAAATATCCTATAAAGTACGAAAATCTCAGCATATATATTTATAGTGATGAGAAATAGGGATATTCAACTGAAGAGTTACACACATAACGAAATATGTTTACTATAATCTACTATATTCTGCTACTAGTCACTATCTAAGAATTTGATCAGTTTACTTTAGTTGTGTGTGTTTTTTTTTCATATAAATTATGTTACAGACATTAAAATTTTATCTTCTTCATAATTACGAAGATATTCAAAGAATAGAATAACGAATATGAAAGAATGAAATTAGTGTGAGAATATATACAGGTGATAGACAATGTAGAAAAACATATGCAAAACTTAATATATCGACTTAAGATATTATCTCTTACAGATTTCATATCAAATAAATCAACATAGTGAAAAGAAAACAAAAAAAACAGTAAGAGTAGTGATATTCATGATAACTGTGAACTTAAGAAGTTAGAATCTCTAATACATAAATTTAACATTATAGGATTATGGTGATTATTAAGTTTATGTTAGAGATCATGAACTGATTGATGTTAGATCACCATTGAAAACCTGAAAGCACTAGACAACTGTTTCGTTATATTGTGGGACTCCTCAGAATTGCTCATCCGAGATCCCGTCTCAGGAGATTCAAACCAAGGACCTATTAATGTCGCACGCGAACGTTCTAACCACTAAATCACTGAACTAGCCAGCATCCAACGATACTAATGTTTAATTTCAATTATTTCAGTTAATCTTATTTAAATACTGGTCCTATCTAAATGACAACTATTATCCATAATAAAAAAATTCAAATCATTAAGAATAAAAAGGTTACTTCAATTAGACAAGACAGTAGATGAAAATTGATTACTATTTCATCGATTTACCACAATCCATATATGTGTTTCTATGTGTACATCAATATTGAACTAATCAACGGTATAAGAGAGAGTAGAAGTATATTTTGTCTATAATATATGTGAAGAAAAAAACCGATAGTGTACATGTATGTGTAGTGACAGATAATAAGATAAATCTATTTATCCTGAATAGTAAATTCATATACATTTTGTCATTTGTCATTTAGAACTAAATCAGATCATTCTTAATAGTAGTTCATTTCAATTAATGTATTTGTCTAAATGACAATAGTATTTTGGAATAACTCTTCATGAATTAGTATGTCAATCTTCTAAAAGAAGAGATAATTAACTAATAAAAGATTCACATCTATTTCAAAAACAAAATGTGAAAGATGATTGTGGAGAAGATTTGTAGTTTAAATGGATGATTTTGATGAAGTTTTGTTCTTTGAACTGGATAGTTTAGACATGGAGTTTTTATTGTTCTTCTGAATGACATCATCAGCATAAACTTCAGGGAAATGATTGTATTATACAATCACAATTAAATATTAAACTATGTAAATTGTACTTTTCAGGTAATGAATTATGTGTGCTTAACTTAAGATTATATAATTAACATGTGGGTACCTTTATATTGCATATGATTATGCCATAATTATATTTTAATAGTGAGGACTGAAGATCTTTGTTACTTGTTTATTGTTGATGGGATCATAGACAAATGGAGAGTAATGGGAAGTAAGTCGTTACATGAATTCACTCTCAAAATACTGGGCCTGTGGTATGAACTGTAGATTAAGCGGCTTTGTAGCCCACACACGAACATGTGACTCATATACGAATAAGCATGAAATTATTTGTTCAATTAAGTCCAGATTATTTTTAAAAAACAACAGAATTTATGGTATCAATTGTTAAATAAGTGAAAGGAATAATTGTAAATACTGTCAACAGAATACTCAACTGTCTCAGTTACCATAGTGAAAAAAAAGTTAAATTAATAAACCCAACTGAATGATATTAAAGTAAACTGAGGGAATAAGTTATATCATCCTTGACAACGAAATAACTTATATGATTCGTTCTTTGTTACTTTAATTTATTCTGATTATTACACTTACAATATCAACTGATGTATAATTTATTCAGGTTTACATTGTATACTTAGCATTCTGATATCAACAATTTTATTTTCTAAACGATTTTACTTTCATGTACTGTATTTTTAAAGTATTTGTCTTGGATATTATTTCAGAGCATTAGTTTGGACCTGATAAGTCTTTATGGATAGGAATATTCGGCGAGTAAACACTCTCAAGGTCATTTTGGCGTCGCTCAAAGTTCGTCCACCGATTATTCTTCTATTATATGTATATAATGATGGAACATAAAACAGACTATTCAGTCACCTAACATCAACGTTGAAAATAATAAGGTTCTCATTTTAAAAAGTTCCCATCTAAATAAACAAGTTACGCTACGAAAATGTCATTCCTAGTCATTATAAACATTTGTTCTCATCAAAAGTATATAAATTTATTACATTAATATTACATCATTAATTAAGAAACCAAATACTTACCGAATATTATAATTTGTTTTTTAATATTTCCCATGTATTATTAGATAATAGACAGTTTACATTTCAATTTGTCCGCAAGTTTTCAGTAATATATATAAGTATATATAATAGTTAATGTATAATAGATTAAAATCCACTACGAATTCAGTCTTCTTCTATAAGGAAAATTTGTTAATTATCAAACACTTTGATAAAAGAAAACCTCAACTGGTCAAATCCACAAAAATTTCCTGATTACATGTAATCATGCTTTTATGTTTCTTTAAATCCAAGTGATGGCAACTAATTCCATTGTATCTTTAATTTGATTGGTTAAAATTATCATTGGTTGATAATTAGGCTAATATGATTGGTTGATAAATTTTATGCTTTAGATTGTAAAATATTGGTTATACGACTCAAAATTGTAATATCTATGATATAACATAGCAATATACATGTTTATGTTAAATAAATAATGAAAATTAACATGGGACAAGTGAGAATTAATGTGCCATGTATCAATCCAATCCGAACCAATCAATACGAATTCAGGATAGTAATATTTCAGTAGTTGAAATCATGAGTTAAATAAAGCTAGATCATCATTGGAAAACCTGGGAGCATTGAATGACCATTTCATCCTATTGTAGGACTTCTAAGCAGTGCGCATCCATGATCCCGTCCATCGTGAGATTCTAACCCAGGACCTATCAGTCTCGCGCACAAGCACTTAACCATTAGACCAGTAAGCTGGCCATCATCCAATGATGTTTAATGTGTAACTTTAACCAATCCACGAAATTGAGAGACATATCCAACATTGTCTTCAATGAGTTACTATCTCACAACAGACCTGATTGAACTCTACTAGTTACTGCTTCTCACTAGAACTCCAGTTAATTGTACGTTAATATACAGAGCATATTACAATTAAATGTAATACGTTTCAAACATGTTTTTAATCAATTTATATATAGTGTGTTGACAATGTTTCATGTTATTTAGTTATCAACTGCTAATTTTTGTCAGGGAATGATGCCGATTAAGGAAGTAGATAGGAATTTTATTATTATTTGAAACTCTTCCGTAGTGTGGAGTCACTGCAGCCTTAAGAATCAAACCGAAGTTTTTTAAACTTCACGCCGAGTAGGTTCATATACACCCAGTGATAACTGGAATAATGTAGTCCATATCTCTAATTTCAGTCAGTTAGCACTGTAACTCGGCTACCCTGGTAAATTACAGGTTCGTGACACAGGTCACAATATCTGACTAAAACTTCCAGGTATTAATCAGTGTAATATTAAGGTTGTGGGCAGAATTAATTTGCAATGCAAAGCGTATATTTTATAATGACATCTCAGGACAATACCCAGAGTGGCTTATAGAATAAAAATCCAATATAATCCACGGCTCAACATTAAAACTTCTTGTTAATTCTGACAACGTTGTCCCATCAAAATTACCTTTCAAAATCATCATACAGCATTTAAACAAGTTGGCTCAAAGAAAGTATGAATCAAAACTTATGAAATTCAAAGTGTTTAGCCATTCAGTAGTTCAAGTATGAACCCTGTATGCTAAAGGAGCACTGATAATTTCTCATTCTACTACGACATTAACATCAATCCTAGTTAATTATTTTTTACTTTTCAATTCCCCCAGTTGGATCATCTATATCCACCAATACGATTAAAACACCGAACATACTCTTTTCGTCCTCTCAATTTCGCAAACAACACTACTGCCACGAGAAGGCAGTTAGTAGGAATTCCCTGTCAATGGTTGTATGCACGTGGCCGTGTGAGGGCATTTGGAGAGGGAGAGCGGAATCTCCTCACTCTCGGCCGTACCACGGCATTTGGGAGCAGTACATGATGTAATCGAAAAAAAATATTCTTCATTGATTCGTCTTTATTTCTTTTGTATTATGATTTGGTCAAAAAGCTTAATGAGATTGATCGATTGAAGTTAATCTATAGATGGTTAGTGCTTATGCACTGGTGAGGAATTGAATATTGAAACGAAATACCTATCATCTAATCGTTAGTATTTAGTGGTGTTTCACTTGATTACATTCTATGACAAAGCCATCTTCAACGTAAAAATTATGTTAGATTATCAAAAGTGTAAAAGTATAATGTGTAAATAGAATAAATATTATTCCCTAATGTAACTCCGCCTGGAGTCCCTCCGGGGGCCACTGCCGGTCCCAAGCCCGGATAAAGCAGGAGGGTTGGGCATGGGGTTAGCGACCCCATCCCGTAGACAACCAATTCGCTAGAAAACGCTAACCAGAAAAACTTATTCAAACCTTTTAAACTCTGCCCTGGGAATCAGAAGGTCTTCATTTAGAAGAGTTATGACGCCTCATGGTGAAAGCCGAGTTCCTTCGGAAGTCACGAGGCCGATGCCCCTTCTGACAACCAGATCAACCATTTATTTAGGTACATGGAATACTCGTACAACGTCGGAGACTGGGAGAGTCTTCCGAATTGCTGCAGTAATTAGATCAATAATTTTGAATAATATCTGATAATATTCACTGAAAATTTGACATTTTATTGAATCATTTAAATAAAATGCAACATGAAGCAGCAAAAATAATAAAATTCAACGGAGAAGTTCATTTCTCAAGGCTAAGTTTATTCGTAACATCTCCAATCTATAATAAGTACATTGAATCTAACACTTCTGATCACATTTTGAGTTCTATATATTGATGTATAATGACATTGGAAAGTTCATTTAAAACGTCTAGAGTTATTTCCATTCAATTTCTCTGAATGAATCAACATAAAGCGGACTAATATTCTGTATGAAAAATGTAAATCTAGCGAAATTTAAGACCAAAAGCGATACATGAATATACGACATTTGTCTATTAAGGGAACTAAAAAATCACCCTAATCGCTGGATACAACATTATCTAATTTATAATGAAATCATTCAGAATAATCTCAGCTTTTCTATATTACATCGTTCTCATACCAGTATGTCACAACCAGTTTAAACAGAGATGACTGATGGCTAGCAGTTAGATTCATACAATTGTTTCTTCTCACTTCAGACTCGTCAGTTGGATGTATCCGTATCGCAGATTTGAAGTTCACTCTGAGAATCCAATCCAATACCATTCACTTCAAACGTCATCACATTATCCACTTAACAAACATAATTTTATTATTTATCACAAAGCTCAGGATATCTTAAACACATTGTCATCAGGTACTTACCATACGATTAATAGTGTTCAATCTACTCACAAAAATTTCATCTACAAATATATCTCGCACGCTAGACTGTTAAGTCCTGGTTTCGAATCTCGCAAGGTGCGAGAACGTGGATTCGCACTGCTGAGAAGTTCCACAATAACACGAAACGGCCATCCAGTGCTTTCAGGTTTTCCATGGTGGTCTAGCTTCAACTAACTCATAATCTTAACCATTGAAATTACAAATATATATATGTTTGTTCTATTTTACGTCTGGAATCAATATACAGTTAGGTCAACATTTTCATATCATAATAAAGATCAACATTTAATACAGAAGTTCATATTTCAGGTCAATATAATGAAATTTATCTGGAAACATTTTGGATCGTTTTTTTTTAATTTTACAAAGATAACTTATTGAACATCACTCAGCAACTGAATTGTATTCATCAAACTGAATATATCAACAAAAATGGTTCAACTTTCATATTACTAATCAAAAGAAGATGGTAAAGATTGTTGAACTGATCCAAGTTAATATTACTAATTTTACTGTTTGAAATCATGAGTTAATTGAAGCTAGACCACCATGGAAAACCTGAAAGCACTGGATGGCCGTTTCGTCCTGGTATAGAACTCCTTAGCATTTGTATGGGAACTCCTCTGATATTTTTTTGTTTGTTTGTTGGTAGGTCAATAAAAATCAGAGTGAAACGAAAGAGTTGTTGTATCTTTGTTAATGATATATCTAGATGTACATCAATTGTTGTACTATATCGGATTGAATCTCACACTTACAGAGCTCATAAATAATACAATATATTTGATCTATTGAGTAGAGATATAAACGTTTATATCTATAACTTAAGTCAGTCTAAGATATATCAATATTCTCGAGTATTATTATCATCAATGGATTTGATTAACTACGAAGTTGTTAACTGATCTCTATCTTTCCAGTAGTTTCTTAGATGATGTTACTTAATGGTGAAAATGTCTCTTTGTGGATAATCAATATGCTTTATTGAAATAACATGACAAAATCGATGACTGAGTGATCTAATGTGAGTTTAATCATAACATACCATAAGACTAAAATAAAACATATTTGGCACATCTCATCTATCATAAATATTCGTTAACACTTGATTTATGGTAGAATCGTATTATTGTGCACTGATCAGTAACAAAATTAATAATAACTATCATGTTGTCTAATATTGAGTGATCTAGTTTTGATTAATCAAGTTCACATTACCATGATTAGTTAAAGTGACTTTAAAGCATAGCTTATCAAGCTTGAAAATAAGTATTGAAATGCATACAGTATAGAGTGAAATGAGGATTTTGTAATTTGAGAACTAAACTTATGAATAAGATGTTCAAGCTTTTGTTCTATCTATCTAAGTTTGCATTGACACATAGTATTATTGTGGTGTGTGCTACTTATATTAACATAAGTAGTATATGATGTTAGTCGTGAACAGAAGGTTCGACAGCAGAGAGACAACAGGATCGAACAGTAGAGAATGGAAACAGAATGCAATTTATATGAAAATGTAAGAACCATGAAGTCTAAGTCATTTTGAGACAACTGATGGACATTTTGCAAATTCAGCATATACTTTATGATTGTTAGATTTATTTAACAAGCCCTGTAATTTTGTGTTAAATACATTCGATTGTCCTCACCCATGTTCTGTTCACTACATTATTAATCATCTCATAAACAGTGTAGTTCGAAGTTGGATACATAAAAGTTTGTACTTGATAAATGGCATAACCAATACATTAACTTAAAGTTTCTGTGATAAATCCATATGAAAAATACCAAACATTTTAGATGGATACTTACTTACTCAATTAATTAATTATTTTGATGATGAGTCGGTTTATAAAATCATCTCATATGAATTCTTGTTAATTTTCCTTTAAATACAACGGAAATTGAGACAAGTATTTAGCTAGAGTTTAAAATTGTAAATGAGTACGTTAGGTATATCTGAATTGCAGAGTTGATATTTACTATAGCATGCAGTTATATCTAGTTGATAAA